TGGTCCAGATTCGACCAATCCTGTTGTGACATGACAATCAGTCTCATTCTTTTACCATGTTATACGAGTCTCTCTTAGTGTGTTATATGAACATGATCACAGTTTTTTGCCGTGTTATACGAATCCATGTTATATGAACCCATGTTATAGGGGGGTCTACTGTAATAAGGTCTTGTCTGATAATTAGCCTTCCCAGTGATTCTGAGAGAAGTTGTTTTTTACATACTATAACAAAATTAACAGAATGTAAACAATAAATAACTGTGCATATGTATATATAAAATAAAATCTTAATATTTCAACAAATATAACTAATATAAATTTAATGTGTATCATTATCTATGCAGTATATCTAATACATAAATAATACTACATAAGAACATAAGAATACTGTATAGATAGCAATGCTCATTAAATTTATATTCATAAGGAATCACGCACACGTCTCCAACCAAGTTTTGGCANACGTCGTTCCCGATTATACGTCGTTTGTCAAAAAAGTATATGGAAAAATAAAAATCAAGTTTAAGTCATTTTATTCGACTTTACGTCTGTCCGCCACAAATATTGAAGTCGTAATATCACTAGAAGAACGTTTAAAGCACATAAAAGCATATTAAAATATATACAAGTATGTACTGTATTTACAGTACATGCATTCGTAAATTTAGATTACTTTTTTTTGGTACTATATTAAAAACTAAAATTTATTTGTTTGTAAGCTTAAAATAGATCCTTATTAACCATATATTATTAATACTGCATTAATAAATAAAATACAGAACCGGGAATGGTAATTTATTGTTTAGCCTATTGATAAGTAGATTCGGAGACAAGTAAATTCGACTTACGTCGTTTTTTGACTTACGTCGTTCTCCTGGAACCAATTACCGACGTAAGGCGAGGTATACCTGTAATTATATACTACTGATTTACTTTCTAGTATTTTCATAAATTTGGAAATATTCTGATACAGTTTTATCAATTTTTTTATCTATAGACCCTTGTAAATTTATATCATTTATCAATATATCTGCTAATTTATTAAGTTTTCATGAAAATGCTAAGAACAACTCAAATTATCATATTAAGGCATCAGTACATAACATATTTCTGTTTATAGGACTTTTAAGTATATTTTTTTCATTACAGTCATCATCGTTATCACAATTTATCTTTATTAGTACTCTTATTTAATTATAAATTATTTTATCATTATAAGAACATTAACCTTAACACAGTTTCAGATGAAATTCATGATGGCATGAATTTGGAATTATACTACCAATAACATCTTGTGTTTCTAACTCTGTAAATAAATATATATTGGAGTTTGTATTATTGTAAATTCGGATTTTCGAACAGCTGCACAGTCGCATTTTAAATAGTCTCCGGTTACGTCAACAAAAATATTTGTCTCGTAACTGTGTACTTTTCTTTATTTGAATAATAAAATTAAAGAATTCTATTTAGAAATTGCAGAGTTCATTAAAAAATTTATCTTAAATTTGTCTTTGAGCTACCAGTATATTTTTATTCCATAAATACAAGAGTGAGTTTGTTGTTGTAATTAAGGAATTTATACACTTATTTTTTATATTTTTTTAATGATAAAATTATATAAAAAGTTCACAATTTGTATTAAAAGTCGTGTTTAATAAGATTTTAATCCTTTAAAATTTTTATTAAGAACTCTGTCTTCCTCCTCCTCCCCTTCCATCTTATCCCAAAATTTTTGGATTGACTATATTGGTGAGTTGTTGCATCTCTTTTTTTTTCTCGTACATCTTCACATGCCAATTCAAGAAATAACATGAGATTATTTTATTTCTTTTTTTATTACTCCATCTCAATCTCTGTCTTTTCCTTGATCTCTTCTTTACTGCCTGTTTTCTGTACTTGTCCTCCTCTCTTCCTCCACCTTCAATATTAGCAATACCAATTTCTGTGGATTTGCTGCTTTATCCTAATTTGGTTTCATTTTATAGTTGGATGTCTGTCACAATCCCTCTTTTTGATCTGAATTTCAGGCCAGCTAGACTCTTCAGATTGTGGGATAAGACATTCTCATCCACAGCATGGTACCTATCAACTCTGTCTCTTCTCTAACTGAAGCACAGTCCTGAACCTCACTACTTTAGTGTTGTGATAAGAACTGATGTGTTCATCAAAGACTAACTGTTACCTCTACCAATTAGCTGTTTCTCTGTTTATCTGAAATTAATAACTATTAAATCTAAAAAGGAATTAAATAAATTTTAATCAAAATCAAAGATGATTATAAATACATATATTTATATATAAATTAACAAGATTAAATAACAATATTGATCACAGATGAAAAGAAAAGTTTTATGAGTGCTCTGGCAGTTTCTAGTTTTTAGACAAATCTTCACTAACTATGAATTTTTGGCTTCTTATGTGACAAATCATTCTGGGTAATTGGTTCATGATCAAAAGATAAATCAATTTGTTACGACTAAACATAAGGAAAGAATCATCTGCACCAGTATTAAGTAACTGGGTTTGAGTTAGTTTATTCTGAACAAAAAGGTTTCTGGGTGAAGTTTAATAGAATAAGACATATCTATTTAAAGTAAGAATCTTTTGGTTATTCAAATTATCATCAAATATGTACTTTATTTGGAAATTTACAATTAAAAAAGTATACTATAGGCTTAAAACGAACACATGATGTTTACTTATACACTAATTTTATATATAGTTAAATTTCTAATACTTTAATTTGAAGAATTTTATAAATAATGAATACTTACTTTTGCATTATTTAAAACTGTATTAAACAGAACAGAATTAAGAAAAGTTTACATTTATTCAGGTGTGTGTGTGTTATATAATAAAACTAATAAATTTTAAAAGAAGAGAGTAAAAAAAATAGCCATTTAGTAAGTTTAAACACAAGTTGGCAAGGTGTTTTATATTGTGTTCACTCACTTCACTTGAGTGTATCAAGGTTTTCTATTTATGTCTGAGGACTCCAAGCAAAATTTCACGCATTTTCACTTTACCTTAACATGTATTTTTTAAAGCAAATACACTGAAATAATTAAATACATTATATTAATTACATTAATTAATCATTAATAATAAAATCTATCAAAAAATTTGAATAAAAATAAGTGAATATGATGCATAAAAGTAAACTGTTCGGAGAGTTTGATTTATGTTTAATTTTAAGGAGAAGATTCGTTCTGGCATCGAAATTGGTTGTGTCCAGAAAGTTTTTGAAAAGAGAAAGTGGGAATGAATCCAAATTAGAACCACAAATAGGGAACGTTGACCTAATTGACTAGAGAATCAGGTCAAAGACGAAGAACCGTCGGAGTACCCTCCATTTTGCATCCATGATCAGAAGAGTCATCTCTATTGCTGATCATTTACGTAAGGAATATTTAGAAAATACATGCAAAGTGAATAAGTGGTGAGTTCCAGTTCCTATTTGAAAGATTTTAAATATTTATCGTTGCTAATTATAGTTCAGGATCTCACAGATGCTCTTGAGCTAGTTTAAGACCTTGCGGATAAATTGCTCTTGAGCTTCCAGATCTTATACTATAGATGAGCCGCTCTTAAGCTTCCAGCGTCTTATAATAATATAAATTTCTGTTGATTTATCGTTTTCTTTTCCTAAAACTAAGAATTTTACGAGCTTAAGATTTATTTATTTATAAAATAAGGTAGTCAACCTAAAATTTGCATAAATTAAACCCTAATTTCTTTATTTAACTATGATACTGATCCAAAGAAATTAATTCTTTGATAACTTTACATATCCACTCATTTTCTTGTAATTTTACAGTAGGAAATTAATATTTAAAAAAGCATCCGAAATACGTTTTAGATTTCTTGATCATGTAATTTATTTCAAAGCAACATTTTTCGAAATTAATATTTTTATAGGCTCCTTCAATGTGCCGTTATACGTTCGAATTTTAAGAGTTCGCGAGCTACTGGTTAATTAATAGTGTTTTTAAAATGTCGCAAATTTAGTAGGGCGAATATAGTAAAACTCGATCTCTTTTGTGAACTCCACAACAAAAGAAGGGGACAAGAGATGACTTTATTTATAAAAACTCTATAGCATACCGGTGTCGCATCCAAAGTACTCCATCACGTCTAGACAGAATCAACAGAACAAGCAGACCGCTTGTCACCTTTAGTGAGAAAGTCCATTCGGAATTTTATTTAGAGCCTATCCTAAATTGACTCTTTTACTTCTCAACTCATTTATATTGTTTAAAACACCGTCGAAGGATCGATTCATTTATCAAGGATACAGTAAAGGAATCGCAGATATGCAGAAAAGAAGGGCCAAACAAACCTCAAGGACTTCTTCAAAGCATTTTTATTGGGTTCATCCGCGTGTGCTGGGAATGAATCAGTATCATTTCAGGTACATAACAATGCTTTCATTGTTAATTAATTACAATCAGGTTTCTACTTACACTTTATATAACTCAATTAAAGTGATGTTTCGATATAAGGAATAAGACAAAAATCCTTAAACATTAGGATAAATGGTTATAGACATATCGAGGTTTTAACCGCAATTTAACAGATTTTTTTCGATAAGTTTAGCGATTCACAACAAAAATTTATATATTTATTGATTCACGAGTGTTTCGTAAATCAATAAATATATAAACTTTTGTTGTAAATCGCTAAATTGATCGAAAAAATCGCAATTCCTTCCTTTAAATCGACCATTTTTGCCAATTTTCTTTCATTTTTATAAGTAAAAAGTCTTCGTAATTTTCTCGAAATCTTGGAAATTGGCCAAAATTGGAGTGCAATTTACACACCTGAATGCACTAAATTATAATTCGAAGTTGTAAATTCGTCTTCTGAAGCAATTAGTGTCCCCATTAAGAGACATGTTCTTATAAACTAACGAGATGTGTCATGTGTGCCTTTTATAAGAAACTATACTTTATCATTCAAAAACTGATATTATTTATAGAAAAAATTAATTTATTAAATTTAACATATTAAAAAAGGCTCTTTTATTGCTCTTTTAAGGCGCTAAATATCTCTAAGTTCTAATTTATATCCCACATTAATATAGCGAATAAAGGATGAGCAGAGCTTATTGTGTAACTAACAATTGTGCAACAGCATCCCTTCGACTCCACGACCTCATTCATAAATTAGGAAATAATTAATTTCTCGACAATAAAAATTACAGTTTAACAAGTGAAAATTATATGATTCCATTCGAGAAATTCGTCATTGTTGTCACGAACGCATCGCAGTTAAGTGGGGAGGTTCTTTAAAAACAGCAGCAGCACGTGGGTAGCTTGGTGGATACGCTCGAAAGAAGAGTATATTAGAGGCCCTCCGAAGGGTGAAAGTTGCTTTAGTTAAGAATTAAATGGTGCAAAAGTATCTAAACAACTCAAAAATATGCTAATAAAAGTATAGACTTTCACACAAAACGGTAGAAGGGTGCATTTTTGTAACGTAACGAGTAGGGGAGCGGAACGACAAAGAAGCCAAATTTAAATGGACAAAGGCATGGTGTGTGTGTGAGTGCGTGTGTGGAATAGCGAGCATGCGCGCTAGACGGGAGGATCGTCTCGATTCACCACACACTAGCATTAGGCGATCAGAAGCGGGCGGGTTACGTTCTCCGTTGGGTGACGATGCGGTCTCTAGACACCCCCTCGTCACATCTTTAACGAGATGTAGAACGTTATCGGTATCAACACCCTCTCCACCTCATCCATGGCTACCTTCCCGCGGACTAGGAATTCGCGGAGTGTGAGTCCACCCAAGAGGAAACCTAAACTGGATGCTGCGGCTCTTCCTTTTCGGAGGTAAGTCGCCATTTTGGATGATGTAGGGATGCTGGGGTTGCCGCCGAATTCTAAGCTTCCCAACTATTATCAATTTTCCTATCTTTACAATTATAAGACTATACTTAACCGTTCCTCCTTCCTTCATCCCTAACCCACTGTAACCCTATTAAACTACCCTAATTGAGGTTACGTATAGAAAATGAGACGTATGTTTACTACAAAGTGCTGTGTTTAAAACTTGATAAACATCCAGACATCGATCGGGTAACCTTACGCGTGACGTCAGATATGATACACGAATTACGTCAAACATAATTCATTTTTATTTGTTAACGCGAATGTTTTCGATCGAGTTCTAGGTCTTAACTCGGATTTTAAAAAGTGTGTGCTACTCCGTGACGTCAGAAGATTGGTCCGTGACAAAGGAGTTGCTTGTGCAGCGCAGCTATAAGTAGAGATGCTGAAAGATTAGGTTTCGTCAGCCTTAGTTGTCGTGTTTTTTCTAATAACCTCTAACCACTAACATTAACACTACACTGCCGTAACGCCTACGTGCTGTATACGTTGCGTAAATTCGTATAAATAAAATTTAAAAAGAAAAAAAGGCAATTTTCGATTCAAAAAACAATTTATTTTTTGTATAAAGCGTTGTAGCGTGTTTCTTTTTACCTCCTCGCGTGTTTTATGATTTTATACTAGCTCCACTACCGAATTTATGTCTACGAAGATGGTGTGTACTCGAAAGATGCTCTTGCACGAGTACTTCTATCGAAGTAAAGTGGAGCGAGATAAGAGAAGATAATGAAGAGAAGGGATTTTAAGAGGTTGAAACGATGGAAACGTACCAAATTTCAATTTTCTGTCCCACTTGTCATTGTAGTCATTGTGTCTATGAAATCGGGGATGATGAATTACTCCATCATGACTCAGAACAGTGCGTCATTTTGGTGTACAAGTAGCTCAGGAGCGAATCAATCACGAACATGTGCATCGCTTCCATTTTGATGAATTTAAATTAACTTAATTAGTCTCTCGTAATAACTTTAATTTCTATTGTTGTTTCTGTTCTTTTATACTTTAATTCTACACAAAAACTTAAAAATCCTTATTGTATTGAAGAAAGGCTAGATCTAAAAATAGAATTATCGAGGGTCGAACCTTTACACCCGATTCCGGGAGGACCTCTCTAACACACTTCTCAAACGCGTTATTCTGCGTGTCACCAGCTTGTTTAATCAGAAAATTTACGCAATTTCGAGGTCTTTTAAAGATAATTAATCTTTTTTAAATAAAATAAACATTTGAAATTATTAATAATAATATTTTTCAACCTTATACACTGTTTAAAATATCAATTGATAAGGAATATGTTTAGGGGATAGCGCTCTATTGAAAGTGTGAATAACAATATTGAAAGAATAAACAATTTTTTTTTTCACTCAAATTTAATATTAAAAAAAGCTACGAAATTTAAAATTTATGATATTTTTTCACGTTATTTATTCATTGTTTCCTAAGATAATTAAGCAGTGTAACTGTAAAGATGTTCTCTGAGAGTTCTTCTTCCTCTCGAGTCACGTGTGCTAAATTCTTACCATCTGTTCAGTTCCGTGACGTAATGGTCTCGTCTAGAAGATGAGATGAGTGAGTCCAGTTAATTCTTAGAATATCTATCGAGTAAATGTATTTAATCAGAGTTTGTTTATGTTTAATAAATGACCACAGACGGAATCTAAGCTCTGAAAAAAAACAAATTATTTTTGGAAAAGAATCATTGGGGAATTTTTTCATCAACAAACACACACTAGAAAAGAGTTGTTTACTCGATAAATTACGTGTTTGTTAGAATCTCCTTCGAATTCTTCATTAATAAAGAATGTGAGATTAGAAGAGATTCATCGATTTTCTGCTCTTACTTCTCCTTAATCCCTATTGACATCACTTTTACCCCTCCCTTTAACTGTTGGATTTCTTCTTCGTTGGAGATTTCGACATCGATTTTTAGACGAAAACAAACCATAAACAACTCGAAAAATAAACGAAAAATATTCTGTGCTGTCTGGAAAAATAATCCGAAAATATCCTTAAAAATGGGGAATTTTTAGGGTGTTTTCGGAATATTTTCTGAATATTATTGCATTTTTCGGGATATATTAAGAAAATAAACTGAAACATTGGAAATTTTTAGGGTGTTTTCGGAATATTTTCTGAATATTATTGCATTTTTCGGGATATATTAAGAAAATAAACTGAAACATTGGAAATTTTTAGAATATTTTCAGCACGTTTTTCTTCGGTATATTCTGAAAATTCGTGAAAATGTTACGAAAATATCCTTGAAGTTGTAGGAATTTTTGGGTTTTTTTTAAATATATTTTCTCGAAGTTCAGGATGATAATCGGAATTTAATTGGAAGGATTTTAAAATATTTTCCTTCAATTTATTTTTTACAAAATGTTAGGGATTTTTACAGTATTATCGCAATTTAGTTTAGGGAATTTTCGGGATATTTTCCTGTAATTCAGGATTTTTGTTAAATTAAGAAATTTTTCGGAATTTTCCCTGAACGTTAAATTATTTTTTTCTGAACTTAATTACGGAAATGACGATTTTTTGAAATTCAAGCATTTTTTCTTTTCAAAACTTAATATTAAGATTCCTACTTAATTTAGAGATTTTTCAATATATTTTGTAATCATTTTTGAGTTTAATAATAGTTTTTATGAATCTATTCTAAATATCAGGGATTATTAATACATATTTTTCGGAGAATTTTCAATGTATGTTTTCAACTTTGAGATAATTTATTTTAAAAATATTTTCCCTAAACTTTGAGATATTTTTCAGAAATTGATTAGGGAATTCTCAGGATTTGTTTTAATTGTTTTTCTTATTTTCTTGTTTCTGTCTTAATTAAACGTCACGCAAATGTCAGCCAAAGTTAAGTTTGTATTTAAATAAAAGTTTTTAACGTAAATTTTTCTAAATTTAGCATTTTTTCCGAATTGAAAATTATAATTCTATAGAAATTTTTAAAAAATGTTTAAAATGGCATAATTCTTGTTTAAGAAAACTTTATAAATGACGCTGGATCGATAAAAATGACGTCTTCGAACTCGTAAAATTGATAAAGAAATGGATATAGACTCATAAATTACGTCACGAGTCATAAATTTCCGTTAAGTTACTCATAAATGACGTCACAAATCGAAAAGAATTAATAAAGATATATGTAAAAAAATTGAAATAAAATATAAGCAAATCTATAACCAAAACCATTAAATTTTATAATTAAAAAGCTAAATTTAAGTTTACATATTTTGATTTTTTTAATTTAATTTTTAAAATGAAAAAAAATTTTCTTATTAAATCGTTGTTAGATTTTTTGTATGATTAAGTTAGTTTTTAAATGGAAAAATCAATTAAAATATTGTTAAAAATCTGGAAAAATATTAGGAGAAAGTTATTTAAGTTTTAATTTTTTGGATTTTTTATCAAAAAATGTATAAATGGAGATTAAAAATCCATTTAAAGCTTGAATTTTTATATGAAAATCTATGGAAGGAATTAAAAAAAACAATTTATGGCTTTAGGTTTTTGAGAATGTATTGAAAAATCCATAAACGGAGCTCCAAAATTCATTTATGCTGTAACTTTTTTGAATTTTTATATCTGAGAAGCTTGAAAGATTATTTAAGCTTTGATATTTTGAATTTTGATGGAAAAAAATTACGAAGGAGCTCCAAAATCTCTTTTATGCTTCAGTATTTTTTTTTAATTCTTATGAAAAATCTATGAAAGGTATTCAAAACATCATTGAAGCGCGATTTTTTAAGTTTTTATCAAAAAGCCAATGTAAAGATTCGTAAAAATCACTTGAACTTCAATTTTTAAAAAGAAAATTTGGAGATTTTTTTGAAATTAATTCATTGTTTCTACAACGCAAGAATCGGTAAAGGGAAAAAAACACACATAATGACCTTTAACGTCCTTAAAAGGAACTGTTATGGCATACATCCTGATTTCAGAAAAAGGAAATGACGTATGAAACCTATCATCGATAGCAACTTCCGTTTAGAAAATTGCCATTTCTACTTTTCCTTTCGAATATATATATATATAATGGACTGACATGTGGACGTGCTGGAGGTGAGTTTAAACCCATTTTCATACTTAATTTCTATGTCGAGGAGGCAAAAATATCTCTAAATTTAGAAGAAAAACTTCACTTTTTCTTCCTTTTCGTAAATGCTAATGTTACAAGGGGGTCTTTTTCTTATCATCATCGCGTGTAGGAGGGAAGAACCAGGAAATAATTTAAATTAAATTAATTATAATTGGGTTAATTAATGAATTTTTAATACAGATTCGGTTTAATTGATGAAAATGGACCGAAAGTAAAGTGGCATTATTGCTGTTTAGCTTCACGTAATGATTTTTGGAAACATTCGGGTCATTCACCTGACGTGAGAATGAATATAACTGATATTTTTGGATCTTCTCCACTGATGTTTATAGCCTGTATGTTTGTTTGTTCGAAAATATTTCAGTAAACTCTATTATATCTTTGTTCTATTTTTGGTTTTTTTCCAATACTTTCGAATGGTTATTAGAGAAGTCACAATGATTAAACGTTCTTTGATAAACAGTGAGAAGTCCTATAAACGACTAATTTATAATTGAATATTGGCCATTATAGCAGTGAAAAAAAAGAACATTAGAGGTTAAACGTCACGAAGATTAGGTTTTGTGGCGATCGAATTAATTAATAAATCGTTCAACGATTAAACAAACGGACTCACGCAGTTCATTAATTTATTTAGAATTATTATGTCCTTCAATAGTGTTAAACTGCGTAGAAGGACCAAGGTCGTATTCCATAATCTCTCCATATCAACAGAGGGTCAAAGTATTGATATTGCCAAATTACGTAGGCTTACGACCCACAACAATAAAGGAGTATACAAGCAAGCCTGTTTACAAGAACTTTCTATTTGTTTCCTATCCCAGAAATTTATAAACAAATGAGAAATTTTCGATAAAACTCAATTTATGAAAGGTTTAAATGATCACGTGGCGGTTTCCACCCTCCAAAAATAGAAAAATGAGGCCCCCTTCTGCTTTACGACCGGAAGAAAGTAGTTTCCTTAGACGAAAACACGGGGTTTATTGTAAAGAATTTTGGCAGTTTTAGAAGAAAAATAAAACTCCTATCCTTGAAAGATGAACTTGTAATTCGTGACCTTCTCTTCTATTATTTTTGAAATTTTTATGAGTTAGGAGCGTAATTTTCCAGATATACTAGATGGCGATTTTTGTTACAAGTAGCACACGTTAAAGTACCACGTAAAGATAAATGAGGGAGAAAATACTCATACAACACTACTAGCTACCGTTTAATTAATGAACGTTTTCTACCCTCCACACACAACTGGATCAATATTTAAGGGATAAAGCTACTGAAAGCTTCAAGATTCTGGTTGTTTACTTAAGAAACAAAAAGGAAAAAATTACTTTAGAGAACAGGCAATGTTCCAAATTGATGTTTATTCAAAAGAGCAATTGTTTTTTCCCCTGTTCGTGAATGTTTTGTATAGAGAACGCTTTGCTTATTTCTATTGTTAAAAATTAGCGTAGATAAGATGTTTAACCATGTTTACACGTAATAGATGCAAAACTTAGCAATGAAACCTGCTGCTCTGCTATTAAAATATATACACTTCAAGGCTATTTTTATCGGAATGTGGGATGCTGATTGCAACACGCTCCTGGTTAGTTATTTATTTAACACATTGCTCTTCTATATTTAATTAATCTATGCGGGGGTAACGATAGCAAAATTGCTAATTTTGCGTTAAAATGAGGCGTTTTAGATATAAATCATCATCAATTATTCAGCATTTTTCTATTAAAATGGCATTTAGATAATTTAAAACGTGTAGATTTGCATGTAAAACATTATTTTGTATGTAGAAAAATCGTGTTAAATATTCAATTTTTATAGTTTATCCAGTGATAATACACGAATTTGTTAAGAGAAGAGAACGGATTTTGAGCAGGAAAACTCATCTTAATATCTAGAAAATGTAGAAATTTGTTAATTTTTTGTATAAAATTTAAAAAAAAAGGAAAAGAAAAATGGGATAATCTATCCTTTCCTAGAAGTCGTCAATCCTTTTATTGAAGCAAATGGCATTGTGCCAGGGTTTTATTTTCTCTCTGTGGACACATTGGCAAACATGATTCTGCACTTTTGCCAGCATTCTCTTCTATGGATATGGTCTTTGATGTATTTTTAAGATCGATTTAAATGAATTAAAACCGAGTTGAAGCATCAGTCGATCATTATTTAAACATTTGTAAAGCTATCAATAACAATCAATTTGGATAATTTGTATTGGAAAATGAATTCGACCATTTTTATTTTATTTTATTTTTAATTTAAATTCAAACTAACCAATCAGGAATTGATTGCTATTTAAATATGAGTGAAATTATCAATTACAATCACTCTCGATAACTCGTATTGGATAATAAAATCGACCGTGTTTTTTTAATTCAAACAACCAATAACGAATCGATTTTTTTCTTCTCCCTTTGAGTTTTAACTTAGATAGAGGATAATTATGGACCTCTTTTCCGAAAATTCTCGATATAGAGTCTGTTGGCACTCTCCCTCTCTTTCTTCTTCTTCTCCTCTCCTGTATAAAAAAAAAGGCATTACCGGGGTTACACGGACGAAAAAAACACAAAAATGAATGCTCTCTCTCAACCTTTAATGGCGATTTTCTCATTTACTGAAGTTTCATTCTTATCAGCACATTTTTTGTATACTTAAAAATAATCGTTTGGTTTGTTTATAATTTTTATGTTTATATAATTTAACATATTTTCGTTCATTCCGTAGAGAGTTCAATCTGAGGAATTGCATAATTGTATACAATTAATACTGTATATACAATTACATAACTTTATGGGATTAATAAGTGAAATTTTGCATAAATCAATATACAGTATAAAGTTACATAAATCTGTGCGATTGAATATATGAAATTTATTCTATAAATGTCATTTTTGCAATGATTTTTATAATTAAAACGTTTAAAATATTCATTTTAAATTGTACAAACTTAAAAACGTTTTAGTAGAATTAATTACTATTCGAATTTATAAAGTTTTAAAAAATTATTAAATAGCATAACTCAATGTTTAAAGATTAATAACTTAGTTTTTCAACAAGTCGACCGCGATCTCCAAGAATTTTTGAACCGTAACATTATAGCGTTCCAATTGGAACAAGGTTGAGAAGTGCTCTTCTATAAACTTTTTCAGCTTATAACTTTAATATATCAATATAATTAGATATTATTTTAGAAAAACGTGAAAAATGCTATAAATATATAAATATGTGTACTTTTAGCGCCAATCCAGAACCTCTGGAAGAAATGGGTGAGTCGTCTCCTCAAGAATCTTCAAATCCACTTTCTCCAGTGGGTTAGTAAACTAATTTAATATATTATTCTGAGGATTTTTAATGGTTTAACCATGAATTAATCTTCATTTATAACGTGCAGCAGAAAGACTTGCTGGATATGTCTCTCCGTTAAGAGTTAGGACCATGAAAGAGTACGATCAGGTAGCTTCAAATTCTGCTTTTTATCACTCATTTCGCACTTTTAAAATTCATTAAAAATTCATAAAACTATTTTGTTTTTTTAGCAAATATGTGAGTTAAAGAAAGAGAATTTTCACTTGAAGCTAAGAATGTATTTTCTGGAAGAAAAAATGGATAAGAAATTCGAGGGAGACATTCTAGACTTACATAAACTTGTAAGTTAAATGTCCTTAATATTTTATATTAAAAATGAATTATTTTTTATATTAAAGATGTCTTAAGGATTATAAGTTTCTTCTTACAGAATTTGCAATTGCAAGTAGATGCAGAATCTCTTCGTAAAGAACTAGAGCAAAAACATAATTTGTTAGAAGAAGCTCTGTGAGTTTAAAGCAAAAAAATATACCTAAAAGTATAAAAAAAATTCTAAACTTATTCATTATGTTTCTAATTTTCAGAGGAACTTTGGAGAAATTAGAAAATAATCACAAACAAGAAATTCATTCCATCAAAACTAAGAACAACAATGAGAAGACTCTCTTAGAAAAAAAGATAAATTTATTACAGAAGGTAAAATGCTCAAAATTTTTTATAATTAAAAAAAAATTAGTTAAAAACTATTAAATTTTCAACTATTTTCAACAGCAACTGTCAGTAAATAATGTTAAATATGGTTTAGAAGAACTGGATAGCAGTAGAAGGGTTTCTACATCAGATCCGAACCCGAATCCAGAGGTATTTTTTGTAAACCTTTGAACATATTCTCATAATTAAATAATCACTTTATTTATATTGTTAAAATTTGAACAGTTGCTCACAAGTTGGACAAAGTTTGAGTGCGACAGACTGATCCAAAGTGAAAAGCAAGAATTAAAAATGGCAATCACCACGCAAGGGCAAGAATTACAGGTTGCTAAATACATTTCTCACGTTAAAAATTCGTAATGTACATAGGAATTTTTTAAACGTGTGAACGTATTAAATGTCTGTAACCTTATAGGCAAACAAGTTACAGTTAGAAGAGTGTACGAAGAGAGAGAGAAGCCTCGAAAATGAATTGAAAACTCATAAAATGATGGTACAAAATCTAACAGAAACACTTCAAAATAAAGATAAAAATATACAGCAGCTGAAAGAAGCTTTAGAATTAAAGTCTGGAGCTATAGATATGATAAACAGCGCGGTTCATACAGCAGTATATAAAGCTACTATGGCAGCGAGAAAGGGAGATAAAATAGGGATAACAGCAGCGAGAGAGGAGTTAAAAGCAGTTTTGAGGAAGGTAAAGGAATAAATATCTTAGTTAAATTGAAAATTCTTCGTTTGATTTCTTCTAATTTTGTATTATTATTATTTAATTTTAGATACTGCTGCAATGTAACGAAGATCTAGAGGGAATTGATAGATACGACATTTCGGAACGTCTTCAATATTTGCAAGAGGAACTAGCAATCAAAGACGACACTATTAAAGTAAGTATTTATATTAATTTGAATTTTATCTTTCCTAGTACTTACTTTAAGTGTTAAAGTTGGTACAGATCCTAATTTTTATGTCAGATCAGAATATATGCAACTCCTGTTGTCAGTTCATGAAATGGAATTGATACTAAAAATTTAATCATAAAAATTTGATAAATATTTTGTAAAATAAATCAAATTAACTTTCAGACTCAGCAAGAGGAATTAGAAAAGTCATCTGAGAAGATTAACACTCTTCAAACAACTCTTCAATCTTTGCAAAGTGAAGTAACTCAGAAAGCAAAGCAGTATTGTGAAAAAGACTCCCTCATCAATCGTCTCCAAGCTTCGTTAAAGGATGCCGAATGCAGAATAGAAGTAATTATAGAGATTGCCATGAATTTTTCTAATTTAAAATTATCATCTTTTAAAGTTCATTTTATTTTTCCTGTAGAATCTGTTAAAGGAACAAAACGAAATCATCACAATAAGTAAAAAATCACTTCAGACTTTACAGTCCAACATCAAAGATAAAGATTCCATGATTCACGATCTGCAAAAGAACATCAAGAAAACTTTAGATCAGAAAGAATACGAGATGGATAAACTTCAGAAGGAATTAATGGACAAAGATAGAGATTTAGCATTAGCAAAACATAACATAGAATCACTTAACATGGATGTTTCTGCTAATAAGAAAGAATGCGAAGGTGTGAAACGCGATCTGGATGACTACAGAAACAAATTATTCAAATTGAGTAACGAAACCAAAAATGTTACCGAAAATCTAGAAATTGCAACAAGAGAACTCAATGAATTGAGGAAAAATAAAGAGGAAGAAAGAAATAAACTGACAAAAGATTTGCAAGACATGAAAAAAGAACTTCATGCAAAAGAATGTAACATTGTCCAACTTCAGAAGTCCATCAAGTTCAAAGATGAAGAGTTAAATCAGATAGAAGACGATTACAACAAATTACAAAATAAAGTAGAGAAATTGGAAAATTTCTTGATGCAGAAAGAAGAGGAAGTCTTCACATCGTTTCAGATTATCGACGAAATGAGAAGAATCATACAAGGTTCCATCAGCAAAGATAAATTGCAAGAAACTAAGAAGTTTCAAAGTTTCGATAACCAAGATATATCTCAATCGGTTATTTTAAAAGATTTGAAATTAAAATTGGGAAATTTACTGAATCAAAATTATACGAATTTCTCGACAGAATATAGTAAACAATTGGAAGTTACAGTGGCTTCGCTTCTACAACATGTATACAACAGTCCTCAGAAATTCTCTCAACCCTGTGGCAAATTAGAAGATATGCAATGTCTACTTAACACCTTTCAGAAGACTGCTGACGAGTTGAATAATTGCAAATGGAAAAAGTATGAAAGCAAAAAAGACAGTGGCTTGAATCAATTATCAGATCGTGTCAGTGAGAATCAGCTAGGAAATATACCAGCAACGAACGATAACACGGATAATACCAATTATCAAGTGGATTGTCAAGCACCTGTAGGATCTATGCAGGGATATAACGGACGTGAAGATATCGAAACAGAGATCGACAATCGGTACAAGGTAAGTCTGCGCGTTGTATATTTGTTTTCTATACATTCTAGCTCACCTGAAGCAGCGAGAAACAAAGAGGCAGAGAATCTTCGTGCTTCAACATAAACAAGACACTCTGGTTTAACTGTAGGTTAGAGAGATAATACACTCTTACTTCAGGATGAGCTAGAAGACATTCTATCCTATCTTTCACATTCGGGATACATAATTTAATATCAGTATTTTTTCATTTTTAGACAAATATCGAGCCGATTTATTATTACAACAACGCTTTGAAAGATTTACCTCGTAGCTATAGCGATTTAGCCTTGCGAATATCGGATTCTCCTCCTCGACAGAGATCAGTGGAAAGTCTACCTGCCGAAATAGAAATGCACTACGAAGGCTGGAGTCCTGATTTCCTGCCACCTCCCATTCTACCTCAATCACCTTGTCTTTCTTCTACGGCAACTAAAGAAAAAAGCTATAGAGAAGAAGCGCATCTTAACAATCTTTGGTCTCAGAGCTTATCACACTTCGGCCATTCTAATGATATACAAGAACTGAAAGAGGAGATCTGCGTGTTGGTCCTTAAACTTCGACAATTATGGGAACGGAGTGTGGATCCTACAAGGAAAAATGCAGATAAACAGTATACGGTAAGTTCACCTTGAAATTGTATTAAAAATAACAGAATGACCTTAAGTATGGCATGAAACTTTATTCTATGTGAAACAACACGGAAAGGTATATATATAGTATCATTTGAAGTGAAAGATCGTCCCAATGTTGTTATTTCCAGTTGAGTTGCAATGTTTCACATGTTGTGGTGTAGCAGGAAATAGCTTGTTTGTTGGAAGAATTGCATAATGAAAATGTCAAAAATGTTACAAATTCTTTAACAGTTTGCACCATTTTGTAGAAACGTTTTATTTTTCTTTATCCATTTTACATGTAAGATTTAAAAAAAGTTAATTTTAAAGTGACATTAATTCCTTTTGAATTTCTAAACAGAATGGAAATAAGATATGTACGCCTCTGCCAACGTTCGATAAACAAGTTTTTATAATGTTAAATGCATGAAAATTAGCATAATTGACGGATATAATTACATGAATTGAAATTCTAAAGCAACAAACTATTTAAAGTAGTCGTTACGTGAGATTTTTGTAACCAATTTAATCACGGGGCCGCACTTTTCTGAAAAAATTAAGAAATTAGCCTACATCAATATCTTGTAAGTTACGTTGATGGAAATTCTTCCACATGTTACTCTTTCTTTCAGGAAGAGGTCATTTTAGTTCATTGTATTAAGTTGATGAGCTTTGAGTTATTAATATTTCATTAAACATTTATTCTATTTCGAAGATTACTTAATTAAAGATGCTTATTAATTTAATTTTTTTGCTTTTGATTAACTGGGGATTATATTTGTTGAGCCATATATGAGATTCATCTTGATAAATCCTCAATGTTCTCTAAAACTGAAAGTTTTATTTTTTTTAATTAATGTTAAAAACTGTTATTAATAGATGCACGGTAAAGAATTGGACATGTTGCAACAACAATTATGCGAATCGGAGCAATTAACTAGAAATCTTCAACAACACATGGCTGAAATGGCCATTTTTCTCAAGCAGCTGTTAGAAGTCGAACCGAAATGTTTGCAATGTGGAAACTCTGAAAGGAATCTTGAAGATGTCGCAGGTAATAATTATTTTTATATAAAATTGACATCTTACACAAAGGTTCAATTTGAACATTTAAGAATAACAGTTGATTCATTTTATATTTCAGATATACCACAGACGTCAGATTCTTGTTACCAATTTAACTCTAAAGATGTGATACAGTCTCAAGTTTATGAAAATCAGAGGTGAGCATATTACTTTGTATGAATTAATCTAAGTTTAGCAAAATTTTTTAACTGAAATTTTTTGTGAAAGATATGAAAATATTGATCCACCGGAACGTTTCATGGAATTGTGTGAAGAAAAACGCGATCTTCCGGATAAATCCCTCAACTATAATTACAGAGATGAGTCTGAATACTTGAATAGTATAGGAGGTGTAAATCGCAAATGGTGGTCGGCTTCACCTCTTCACATCTCACAAGGCAAATGGGCAGAGAATGAAGTGACAAAAATTCCAGATAGTGACACTTGGAACGGCACAGAGCAAGTCGTAGTTTTAGAAGCTAGTGACAGCGATGACATATTGCTTCTTCTGAACGACCGAGGTTTACCCAAAGACGTTTTTCTCTGCAATAATCTTCAACAATCCTGGAGCAGTCAGTCTTGCTTTCCTATTCAGAATTCATCTCCGTGCTTGAGTAAAGATGTAAATAATAGTAAAAAGGTGGATAACAAATTTCAGCAATGGGTGGACTCTCTACCAGATAAAGGAGGAGGAGAGCAGAGGAGCCAAGGACCCGGACTTTCACATTGGTCTTCCGATTCTGATATCTGGTCGGAACCAGATAGAGAAGTATCCATGCAGAGAATTGGAGTGGACTTGGGAGCCATTCAGTCACTATCCGGAGAACCTATTGGTCCAATACTTAAAGCACCTGCCTCTCACAAAAGTCATTTACAGCCAACACTCAATAGGCTCGACAGTTCAGATGATAGTCCTCCTCCCACCAACAGGACTTCACCCTCTTCTTCCAGTAGAAGTGAGTGTAGAAAAATCTAACCTCTTTAAATAAAAAAATTGGCAAATTATAATTATACATTATATTTCGATTACAGGTAATCATCCTAGTAAATGGAAACAGAAGCTAGAAATCTACTTACACAAGTTAGAAGGTTTAATTAGTACGTTGAGTTTAGAACTACAGCATCATCGTAACTTGAGTGGTGAAGTTGTGGCGCAACTTACTATGCTTCCTGCTTGTGAAAAGGTACGGAATTTAACCATTTTTATCTTCAGAATAAAGAAATTCTTACTGAAAATCTTAAAAATGTTATAGGATATTGTAAATTCTGGACTATCCACGGTGGTGCAGGACTATTCTCAAACTATGACACTGTTGGAAGAGAGGATTTTGGAACTAGTTTCGGATAATAAACAGCTACAGGAAATAATACAGAAAAAATTATCCGGGAAAGGATATAGTAGGAAGAGAACTTCGACATCAGACAGCTCACAAAAAGTAATGAGTCGAAAATCCAAAAATCTTCAAGCAAGCGTTTTAAAATCACCAAACAAATTCTCATCTAAGCAAGAAGAAAGGAGTGAAACCGAATCTAAAATAGCAGAATTGCAGACTAAAATTAAAAAATTAGAATCATTGTTAGATAAAAAGAATAAAGAATGTGAAAGATTGTTAAGAGCTAACGAGATTCTGGAAGCTAAGAACAGTTACACTTGCCCCTTAGGAAGACACGAAACAGAAGACAATCAAACTAACACAGAATGGGATAAGGAGGAAGTGAAGAATCTTAAACAAGAAATCGAAAAACAAGAACAAAGAGAAAGGCAAATTGAATGTTTAGTATTGCAGATGAAAGAGGAATTAGAAAAGAAAGATCAAATGTGGCAAGGTGTACAGAATAAATTACTGGAATACAAAGATGTTAACGAGCAATTAGAATTGATGTGCAAAGAAAAAGATTGCCAATTAGAAAACGCTTACGAAACAATTAACAAGTTGCAATCAGAAAATTATTCCAAAGAACAAGAAATTACTAAACTGAACGAAATTATTGAAGAATTGAACCAGGAAATCGAGCAATGCAGACAAAGATCAGCACGACTAGAAGAACTAAATGATGACCAACGTTTAGAACTAGAACAAACAAAATTAAAAGTGAAAGAAATCGAAACAAAATGTGCTGAACTTCAGAAAAGTCTTCAGGAATCGAATGCTTCAAAGTCTGATCTTATCAGTAAAAATCATTCGCTGGAAGATCGATTGAATGCAACAGAAAAGAAACTAGAATACCAAAAAGTGGAGAGGGAGAAACAGATGATGGAGAACGAAACGAAGGCAAAGAGAGAAAAAGCAGCAATCCAACTGGAGATATCTTCTTTGGAAAATGAAATTAAAGGGTTAAAGTGTCAACTGGATCACGTATCTTCGTTACAAATGGAACAGCAAAGTTGCAAAACTTTCAGCGATTTCGGAAGTAGGAAGAATAGGTATGGATCTTCTAAAATAGCTTTTGATAATTTATAAACTAACCCCATTTTCGAGTGGATCAATTTTAATATAATACTTTATTTATAGTATCGAACTCAGCGAGAGAACAGAAGGCGAAGGAAGAACATCGATATATTTTCCTAACGAACAAGGTAAATGGAAAAGAATTTCTTGCGTTATTATAATGATTAAGGAAAAGAAAAATTTTTATCTGTCTTTAACAATTGCATTTGTTACTTCGAATTATATTTAAATAATGAATGAAGATAAAACTGGTATTCATTCTAAAGCAAAATTTGAATCTCGATCTTATTCACCACTATTACAGTTAAATTCTCGCATTACGGCTTAACAATAGAATAAGAACAGAGATTTTGCTGGACCACATGATTCTTACGGCATAAGAATTCGCGCAATAACCTACGTACTAAATAATGAGTTCGGACAAATCAGTGTGTTTCTAACATATCGCATAATTTCACTTTATTTTCGTAATCCGTCATTAGAATATGAAAAGTAATATTCTATTGGAGTTTCGAGTTTGAAGTGTCAAACAGAACCAGATAAGATTTAGGTGGTGGTCTGCGAAATGTGATACATTTATCGTCATAAAATTGTATTCATTTACGAACCTTTCGCATGCTAGGAAGTTTAATTTGATCAAAACTTCTCAGATTACATGATAAATCTTGATTATTCAAGTTTTCAATTAACTTATTAGTAATGATTAATGTATTTGTTGGACATTGGAATCTCTGGCCACTGTCCAGTTACTATTATTATATTATTGAGAGAATTTCTATATAAATAAAATAGCATTATCATCTGGACATCAACAGAAAAACCACATCAAACTTTCATGATCTCTTTTCTCTTCCAACATTGTTATTCCCTCTTTCCGTGGAGTCTCTACTTTTTCTGAGTTAGAATCGTTTCATGATCGGGTGCCCTTGTTGTCAACCCTCCTCCTTCTCCTTCCTAATTCCGCAGTTGGAGCCAGCCAGAGTCACCGGCTTTCGATAGAAAGCCAAACTCTTTTAATGATAAGAAACTTTATCGTCATACAAGAGATCAGTGCTCAAATCCACAAATAACCAGTGGCCGCTCGATAAGATAAATTGCTGTAAGAAATCTGATCCAAAACTCTATAATTTATAATAGAGGGCATTAATTTCCATCTTTTACCAATGCTCGCCTTCCACCAGCACATTAAGATGAACTAATCAATGAATCCACAGAACTATTATAATTCTAGAAGTCGGACAAGAAGCAATAAACAATTTTTAAATGCGTCCGAAACTCGGAACGATACGAATTTTTCTTTAAATTTCCATGAAAAAATCATTAACATAAGCGTTTCTTCGATTGATATTTCGGGAGCAAACCACTGATTATTGGACTGTCTACCTATTGAAAGGCAGCGCTATCGATCGAAGGAACGAGTGTTAAACGAATTGGCCAAGTAAGCATTTGACACGCTCTTTCGTGCGTTAAAAAGAAATTTGAACATTTTGGAGTGTGAAAGAAACAAGAACGAGATTTTGCAAGGTGAATTAATAACGAAATAATCTATTTTTAGCAGAAGTTAAGTCTACAAACAACTTATCGATCATTCGCACGGCCATGAAACCCAGTTAAAATTACTCGCAGAAGCTGAGAAAAGCCATCTTTTAGCTTTATACTTTTCATTAAATTTCATAATTACCTTTATCTTAATAGAAAAATCCTTATAAAGCATGTTACAAGAATTTAATTCGTGAATGAAACGAGGAGAAATTTGGCATAAATTGTTAAATCGAAGCGATTATTGATGGTGATTCTACCCTTTTGAGTGAAAAATCGAATCTAATCGTTTACTTTCGAATTTGTTGCATCTGGTGGAATGAACTCTGTACTAAATTGATTTTCTTGGATTCGATGGTTCTCTAACATGTTTCCATGATTAGCATTCATTGTTTCTTCGATTTTGACGAGACTTTACAATTTATAAATCACATAATATGAGAATAAAAGTAATTTATAAATCCAACAAAGAAAAATTACCCGGTATCCACGATTAGAACCTATCATTTTAGAGCAATTTTAGAACTGAAATCGGTTGACCCATAAATTTCTAATGAGTTTATGAACATTTTCCTCAGGTTACTTAAAACTAACAAAACGAAGATATTGTTAAATTAATTAAAATACCTATAACCATAAGGCAGATAATTACAAAAATTGCTTTTAGCCCTAAGTATAATTAAATTAATTAAAATATCTATAACCATAAGGCAGAAGATATTGTTGTTTTTGTAACATTTGGAGGAAGCCAAAACTGATTCAACGATAGAATACGAGAAAAATGTACAGTACATAGGAGATATATATACAGTATATGTTATTTTTGGACTAGGTTGAGTTATTGTATTTAGGGCTGACATATGGTGCTTATCACAAAAAAGTTTATCGAATTGATCTTGAATGAAGAATTTATTCAAGAAAGTGATCCGAAATGGTATAAATTTTGTTCTATGAAAGTATACGTAAATGCCGAAAATCATGAAAAATGGCTGGAGATATATTGATTTTAATGAAATTCTGTTTAAGTTTAATAATGTCCTGACGTAAATCCACGGAGACGTTCAGGTGATCGAAATTCTAGACATACTAACACTTTGAATAAATGTATTTTTAAGTCGGCACATAGTTTTAGTGACAATGACATCATTGGAAATAAGTCTTTTCTAGGTCTTGGCACCAAAAATCTCTTTTTACGCAACAAAATGCGAAAGAGAAAAGCAAGTTTTACACAACTTTGCATGACTAGAAACTATTTTTACATAAAATCAATTGGATAGAAATTATATAAATAGTTAGTAATCACGATATTTGGCATTTTTAGTTACAGTCTGAAGACTTTTGCTTTTTAATTATCTTATTATAACAATTTTATGATCCCAACGACTTAATTTACTAAATTTAGCCAACCGTACTAACTAAAACCACAGAAATAAAATAAAACTACGAATCTATTTTGATTTACAAACTATTAAAGTTATACATTATTATAGTATAGTGTAATGAATATTGTGGGTATTGTAACTTAAATGTGCTACGTTTAGACAAGTGATCAACCATTCGATTATTACTTTCATTTTCATTTGCATGCTTAGCAAGTGACATGATTGATTTTAACATTTTCAACAACATCCATTGCTTATAATAATATGGAAAAGATAGGCCTACTCAAACAACTGAAATATTAACGGCCGTATTCATCAAAACCATTTCAAATCGAGAATTTCGAAATCCAAGATTTCGAGCTGCTAACTCTAGATTGAGTTACTTTACTTTTCGCATTCACCAACTCAATTAACACTGGATTAGGAAACCCTTCAATTGAAGTAGAGTGCTATTACAAGCTCCCCCCTTGTTGGCCCTGGTGTGTGCGCGAATTGTTATAAAAACTAAGCACACGGTTTAGAGTTTGCAAGTTAGTAGACAATGGATTCTAACGATGAAAGGTACTACACTAATTTCCAGACACGATTATTAGAATTAGCTAAAAAAATATACATTTTTATAGAGTCGTATATAACAGTAAAACGGAAATTGTGAGCAATTCTTTTATTACAAAAACTAAAATAAAAAATTCTACCTTTCTTTTTTTAAAAAAACTGAAGATATGGTGACATCGTAATCGATATAGCTGCTTATTTTCGACGTCTCGTAAGAGCTTAAAATCGTCATTAAAATCGAATATGTTCATGTGTTTACGAATAATTCAAATAGAGCATGAGTCAACCCGTTAACTCGCCGATAGCGAGTTAAATCTAGAATTAATGCGTGATGAATACCGATTTAACTCGAAGCGACTACGACCGTAAGAGATGTTCTTGTTAAATGTAGTGGGTATTTGAGTCTTTTCCGTAGCAGTTCATTATTCTTCAGAACAATCGACGTTATTCAATGGACTGCTACGGTTAGAGATGTTCAAATACCCATTACACTTAACAAAAGCTCTTAAGTATAATAGAACTTGGAATATTTTTCCAACATTTTACATTTATTGTTTGTAAGAACAATACGTATTACAGGAAATCCTGAAAACTTCCACGATATGCAAACCATTTCCACAAGAGCTATTGATTAGTTTCGAAAAAGCATTAATAATTAACATCAATTCAATGATTGTTGTTTAGGGTGTCATTTTCTTACATACACACAAACTAGGCAAGAAACTTCCATCAAAGTATAATTTCGCGAGTTTTAAATAAATTAGTTTCTCTTCTCTGATTTTTTTAGGCCTGGATCCAACCTCGAGCCAAGAAGAAAACACTTTGCTACTGGACTTGGTGACAGAAATGAGACAATTAAGAACCGAACTGAACAACAGTCTGAAAATGAGAAAGCAATTGCAGCAACAAATTAAGAATCCGGGAAAGAGTGGAAGTGATCAAAAATCAAATTTGCAAGGTTGATATTTAAAATTTTCTTAAATAATTGATTTAAAAAAAATTAAATAATTGGAGTTTTTTCTTTATTGTAGAATCTGATCAACATTCGACTATGAGTGAACTTTCCCTAGCAGGTAGTACTGGAACATTAACAGGCAGCAGGATAGATAGTCCAAGTGGTGCTAGTGTAGAATCCAGTGACAGTTTTAGTTTCCTTCCGCTTACTAAATTACGTGAAAAGGGTTCGAGTGTAGATAGAAAAAGCAGAAAAAAGTCACAAGAACATCACAAAACTATAAAAGATGCCACGAAAAATGAAATGCAAGAAAGTATGTTAGATTTTGCAGAACGTAGACAATCACGAACTTGTAAACTCAGTACCTCTACAGAATCGGAAAATTCCGAAAGAAACGTTGAAGAAACGGAAAAATCATCCCCCACAAACAGGAAAACATTAAAATTAGAACTACCGTCTCGTAGACAAGATACCCTGTTGCTGGCACAAAATTGTGGTATTTTGGGTGGCGAGATGACTCCGCAGTCTTCGGGAAGTGAGCATTTGCAAGGGAGTTCGGTAGATTCGCCGGTTAGTCGAGCACAATTTTCTTCACCCGATCTTGGAATTGAATCGGATCCAAATCGCGAGATGTACTTCCCACCCGCCAAGGTCGAAGAAACGGAAGAGTGGAAATCAATATTTCCTTCCAGAATGTCGGTGACTTCAACACGCTCTGCACCCATCACCGTTGCACTCGATTATTCTCCAGAGTGCGGTGCAGATAATAATGGAAAATCGCATAAAGGTACGGTTCGTATGTCGCAACCCGAACATAGTTCAAGGTTCTAAAAAAATATATAAAAAAATAATAAAAAGGTGTCGTGTGCTTTGCTGCTGCCATTCTCGAACGTCGGTTACTCCAATATGGCACTTGTTCCTCTCACTCGTTTCCTTCTCTCGACAAGCTTTCTTTTTATAACATTTCCATTCTTTTCTAACATTCCTAACAATTCGGCACAGTTAAATATCTAGAGCGCCATATTCTTTTGTCTTCCAGCTGTAATTGCTCAAAATGACTATTCACTTCACGCTGTTGGTCGATTAGAAGATTACGAACTATTAAAGAAAGTAATGGAAGAAGCTCTCACGTGCGTTAGAGGAATCACCTCACGTTTCAAACAATTGTTTTCTGTAATGCCTACCAGTCTGATCAGGGTTTGTACTAGTTATAAAATTTAAGTTTGTGCCTCGAGCTAAATTGCAATTAAAAACATGATTTTCTTTCTTCAGAAGCACGAATATACTGCTCTGAGAGAAATGGAGAGTAAGTGTCACGATGTCATCATGTGGTTGGTAAAGGGATGGCATCTAATCGGTATGTTTCAGTCGACAGCATACATACAAGAAATGAGAGTGAAGAATGTCACGCTATCCAAAGAAGTAAGTAGTACATCATCTATTGCGATTTTTACATTTATAATCTTAAATTTATGTTTTTTTTTTTTTTTTTTTTTTTAAAGAACGTCTGGTTGCAAGAGGAATTATTTAATGCCAGGGATGAAATATCACGTATCACCAGGCAGCTCAGAGATGTGACAGATAAGCTACAGGTATTTCTTAGGTGTTGATAACAATTTATGACAAATACAGTAGAGCCTCGATTATCCGACCGTCCTAGTCGGCAAATTTCAAATGTCCGCTAGTGATGTGGCGCTACAATATTTGGCTATGTCTTGGCTACTTTAATATTATTTTTACGTGTTTTAGCTGGCAACACT